GACTCGACGGCACATAGCAACAACAATAACAACATCACTACAGAAGTAGATTGCCCCATCTTCCTTCTGAGGAGTGGCTAGTGAGTTTGAACCACCAGCCTTCTGGTTAGCAGTCAAGTGCCTTAGGCACTATGCTACCAGAGCTCGCATACTTACCACTAGGGACACAATAAAAGTCACAGTTGAAATGGGACAAAAATGTAGAACAAAACTCAATTTAAAAAAAGGCCAGACTTACTGGACTGATAGAGACTAGAAGAACCCCCAAGACTATGGACCTAAGATACCTTTAGACCTGGAAGGAACGCCACTACTGGAGATCACCTTTGACACAAGTAATCAAACCCAAAAATTTCACTGCCATTGAGTTAATTCTGACTCACAGTGACCCTTTAGGATAGAGTAGAACTGTTCCATAGGATTTCCAAGGCTGAAAATCTTGTGGAAGAAGACTGGCTCATTTTTGTCCCATGGAGCAGCTGGTAAGTTTGAACCACTTTAACTATTACAGCACCAGAGCTCCTGTAGCCAAATAACAGATTGGCCTATAAAATAACACCCATAAGGAGGCAGGAGTGTATGGTAGGGAAGGACATAGGGAAGAGGTAACCATGGGGAGAAAGTGGGAAGAGAATGTTATATTGTGGGAAATTGTAGTCAATGTCATGAGACAAAATGTGTATGAACTGCTGTATGGAAAATGAAATTTCTCTGTAAATTTACACCCAAATCACAATACAAATTAAAAATAAATAACACCTGTGGGGGATGTGTTCCTTTAAAAAATCAACTATACAAGACCAAAAAATGAAGAGATGGCAAGTAGAGACAAGGAAACTGGATGGGTGTAAACAGAGCAGCAGGGTAGAAATGGTGAGAATGCGGACACATTGCAGGGACTGTAACCCATGTCACAGAAAAATCTGTGTATAAACTATTGAATGAGAGTCTAATTTGCTGTGTAAACTTTCACCTAAAACACAATGAAACACTTGAATATTCACATGAAAGTATAAGCAAAAGCAAAATATAAGCATAGATTAAGTATAGTGAGACCAAGAGATATGGTACTAAGATTTATACAAAACACTTGCATAGTGTAGTGATTCAAAGCACTGACTTAAATGAGACTGCCTGAGTTGAAATTCTACCTCACCATTTACTACTGTGTGACCTTGAACAAGACATCTTAACTTTTAAATGCCTCACTTTCATCTGTATTAAGAGGCTAATATCAGTATAATATTAGCATGATTGTTAGGAAGAGTGAATGAGTTAATACTTGTGAACCTCTTAGAATAGTGACACATTGATACATTGAGTCAGCTCCAGCTCATGGCAATTCCATGTGACAAAAGAATGAAACACTGCTTGGTTCTGTGCCATCTTCATAATCATTGATATGCTTGAGTACATTGTTATGGCCACCGTATTTTGAGTGTTTTCCAACCTAGGGGGCTCATCATTCAGCACTATATCAGCCAATATTCTATTGTGATCCATGAGGTTTCAATGTCTAATTTTCACAAGTAAATCACCAGGCCTTTCTTCCTAGTCTGTCTTAGTCCACCATGTCTGTCAGTGTGTGGCCTGGGTGTTGCTGTGTTACTGGAAGCTATGCCACTGGTATTTCAAATACCAGCAGGGTCATCTATGGTGGACAGGTTTAAGTGGAGCTTCCAGAATAAGACAGACTAGGGCTGATACTAGGGCTGATACATAGTAAGTGTTAAATAAATAAGGACTTGTTTGAATGAAGACCAAAATAAATATCCTTAACTGAAATGAAATTTTCAAGTAAGAACTGACATAGTTCAGATTTGAAATTTACATCCTTAGTAAGTATTATTTATCTTCATGTATACTATCCAATTTAATCTATAGCTTTGTTGTTGTTGTTGTTGTTGTTGTTGTTTGCCGTCGAGTTGGCCCCAACTCATAGCGACCCCTCCTTGGGTTTCCGAGGCAGTATCACTATGGAAGTAG